ATTTCTCACATCACAGCTTTTATCTACTTACTGAATAATTTCCTGAAAAAAATACTGATCTATACATTTCAAATCTAAATTTCCAACGCGCAATGTCGGGTAACTCAGCTGGTATATAATAAAATGATAACAAATTAATATTTAAAGAGTTAATATGGAATCAAGTCACTCAAAACTGTATTAAATTACCTCAAGAAACAAATAAACTACTAGCAGGTGTGATGAAAGTTAAAAAAAGCTTATCAGTTATTTGTAACACATAAAAACAGTCTACAGAAAGTTGAATACATTATATTCACAGATGATATAAAGTTGTAGTGGAATGGAAGGTATCAGAACTACATTTTGACATTGTTTGGTATTTCACTGATAGTGTAATGCCACCATGAACTGATCATTTTTGGGAAGGGCATGTAACAGTCTTTCTAACAAAAAATATTCATACACTTAGATTATAAAGATGTTTTATATAGGGGATTTAGAATTTCCAAGACAGGGGTATCCTTGTAGTAAACTGCATTGGAAAACAAAGGAATATGAATCAACTTGGGTCATCAGGACCATCCAGAAAGATATTTGCAAAAAGTCATATTCCAGCCATGTTAAGCAAAATTCAGTTTTTGTAATAGGTAAGAATCCACAAACACAAGGGTTAATGAGAAAAGCTATCCATGTGTCCCAGGCAATAGTATGCAACATAATCAAAAGGACTTTAATTTGAAAAAGTAGTAATGTTGATTCCACAATATATTTTAGAAAAGAAAACTGTTTGTATAAAACTGTGTGAAAGGTGCCCAGTTGGGGAAAAATGGCAGTATGTGATGATGCTCTACAAAATGTATTTGTACCCAGATAACTGTAACAAGTCTCATACCATTTCTTACTGGTCAATGGGTGAAAAAATTTCCAAAAGTGGTACATAGCATGCCGTGAACCTTTTTCAAAGGGATTCATAATCAATGCTGGCTACTGAACTATGAGCTAGTTAGAGGTCAGGATAGTAGATATAAAAGTCAAGTCAGCTTACTGTAAGACTAATTTCCTGACCCCTTAGTACCACACAGAAATACTGACTTTATTCAGAAAGGCAAGATAGAATGGGTTCACCAAGATAAGACATCCAACGATACTTCCCATTCAACTGTTGGAAATTTTAAACCAATGTGAGTATAGGCCCTATATATATCCTCATTTTATATAAAGAGGGCACATGTATTGATAAATAACTCTTGAATGTTTTAAAAACAAGATTTTGTCTTTAAACTGAAAGAAAGTTCCTATTCTCACAATAAGCATAACTGCACAAATTTCTGAGTTGTGGTTATGTTTGACTAATAACCTTATTAAGTTTATTCTTAAATGTGATTCAATGAGTACCAGTATATTGAAATACAATCATGAGATTCTAATACATCATAAGTTAGTTCCATAGGAGTGATCACTTATCCTTAAATTTTTGAAGTTATTTCCAAAATACATTAGGTAATAATTTGTTTGCAACTTTTATTCTCAAGGAGGACATCTTGGAGCAAGAACGTAGATAAGACTCCATTAACATTTAAGTTTGTTGATGCAAATACTCCTCTAGCTCTCAGGCCAATGGATTTGATATATCCTCTCCCAATCAAGTATTAGCATGCATGTGAGTGGAAAGGTTTCATACAGAATGACATGTAAGTATGTCAAACCTGCTGCACCAAATAGAAGCTTACATTAAGTTATAAATTAACAATTTTAAGAAAATGTCTGTGTGTAGTTACACTAAAGCCTTAACTCTAACCTCTCACAAAACAAATGAATACCTGACCTAACTGCTTTTGCCTCTTTGATATAAGATCAAGAGACAGTCAAGACTGCCCATTTCTGTTCTTTGTACTTTTGCTAGATTCCCTTTTTGCTAATTTTTTCTATCATGAAATACATTTTGGACTTAGGTAGATGTCAACCCAATTATGGAGCAGAAGAATTTAGTGAGAATCTTTCTGACTATTTAGTTTTGACAGAGATATGGATGGCACTCTCTCTTTTCCCAGTTTCTGGATAACTCCTAAATGAAAGGATGAGTAGTTGAAATAGTAAAAAAAGTAGTTTGACTCCCGACTTCCTAAAGTGGTGGTAGTAATGCTAGTTGTTAGCAAACCTTAAAGTTTTTCCTTTAGTTATCAGGGTATTTCATCCAACAAATTGGAAACAACAGCATCAACCTTAAGATGGTAGGAAAAACCTGATGATACAATGGATGCCCATTAGAGGGGTGCACAAAAAAACATCATTGAACTGCACTCAGGGCTCATCTCTTGTGGGACTGTAGCCTGAACAAGCTGAAGAACTGTAGTGATTTATAATATACATCAAACTCAATAACAAACAATTTTAAACTTTTAGAAGTGTACTCCTGGCCATTAAAGAGACCAGTACATACTGTTTGCCAAGCAACAAGAAACAAAGTCAAAAGTTATAAATCTTGTAATGCTGACCTAGCTGTGACGTCACTAAATCTAGAATTTAGTCTTTGATTATGCTGTGATTAGGTAGTCATGTGTGAATTATGGAAAAGACCATGGACATGTAATCACTTTAACCCAGAATCCTGTTTTAATGTTATTACAACTTCACATTGGGTCTTATCTCTTTCTTTCCACCTGAAACAAATCACTACACCTATCTTAACAAATAGTGTGTCCACAAGTCTCTTATTATTGCAAAGAACAGGTAACTGTGTGCTTAGTTAATCCTTGGAATACTATAATCCACACTATAGTCCAACTGTTTGACAAACTTACACTGAATATATCAAACACAGTGTGGTTGAATATTATTATACACTGTTCTTTACATATTTTCACTCAAAAGTTTGTATTAATAATTAGAACATTTTATTAGGATATCTTTAAAAATTAATAAATATAGTATCCTTTGATCCTAAGCAAACTTCAAACTGCATTTAAAACAAGTTCAAAAAAGTTCTCCTACAGTATGAGACACTGCAGAAAATTTGATAGTTAGAAAATAAGTTCATAATGTTGAAACATAAAAAATCCTTTTATACATCTGATTACCTCAATAACATCTTTACATCTTTGCATAAAAGCATCCATTTCTGCAAATATTCCCGTTTTATCTAAAACCCAGCCAAATGAAGAGAGGCTGTGATGCATTTTGGCTGCCTGTAAGTAAAGAAAAATATTACTTTATAAGACTTGACAGAGAAACAAATTTTTAATGTTTTCCACACTAAGTGTACAAAGAAAAATTGTTAAAAAGTAGAATATATATTACTTTCAAATTACATGTCCAGTACAGTTATGTTGAACCAAAACAATTTTATCCAAATTAATTCCAGATTGCACAGACAGAATACCAAATGACTGTGAAAAACTAAACTCCTTTACATTATATCTATTGACTTTATGCATCCAAAAAGAGCAATGATAACAAGCACTTCTCTTCATATTATTATTAGCTGTATAGTATATGACATATAATGTCTACCTACTTTTTTAACAAAGTATTATTCAAAATTTGTCAATCATTCTAATATGTGCAGTTTTCACATAACATGTGGTCAAGAAACTAGTTAAGCTACTTTTGTTCTAGTAGCCTTTGTTCTTCGCTTGAGGTAACTCCTGGTCTGCCTATGGATGGTATAACTGTAATGCCTCCTTTAAGTTTAATGAGAATGGCAAGTCACCCAGGTAGCAATACTCACTCTGAGTAAACCTGATGCTACCTTTGAAGCATGTATTGTAAGGTTTAAATAGTCTCATCGATGATCTCAGCCAAGTCAGTCAGATAGAAGCTATCTCTGAACCAATAAAAGCAATTGACAGTTCTCAAACAAGCAAGTACTCACACCATGTTAGTGTTAGTGTGGATAATAAAGATTATTCATTTGTGTTCTACACTGTGTTCAGTCTCTATATTTCACTCTCACAAACTCAGTTATTCAAGGAACTCGGAACTACTCTGTGATAAATACTTTGATGAATCTCCTGTTACTCAGTGGACCAATCCCATCATTGTAAAAAAACCAGTTTCTCCTAAAACTATCAAAGAGAAAATATTGGTACCGTGACCACAGTATATATTACTATGAAGTTTTCTGCTAACATGTGTATTGCATTTTACTCCTACTCTTGTGGTATTAAACTTATTACACCTTAATGGTTATGGAAATGGCATTTTCCACAGATCTAAGAACTTAATATCATGAGGAAGATTCGGTCAATGAAAGGATACAGTTGTAAGATCTATCAAAATTCCTCTGCTAGATATAATATTTCCACCAATGCTGCAAAGGTCCATGACTTCAATCTTGTTGTAGCTGCATACTAAAAACAAAAAGCTCCCATTTTCTGGTGCTCCCTGAACACCTGTTCATGGTTTTCCCAAGAGAATCAACCTTAATGTAAGGGAGACATGACAACTGAGGTATATCTAGGTTGTGTGGTTTCTGGATCAGACCAAACGAGGTAATCTGTATATGACACACAGACTTTTGCCAGCCGAAGTACCCAACCTCCACTCTGGTTGAAGTCATCCAATATTGACCAAAAGAAATGCTGCAAAGGTCCAGGACTTCATCATCTCATAGCTACATACTTAGTAAAAAAAGCTACCATTGTTTGGTCCATCATGAATGGCTATTCATGCTCTTCTCAAAAGAATCAGCCTTAGTATAAGGAAGACATGGATGACTGAGATATGTATGGATGCGTACCTTTGACAGGTCAGATAAAAAAACACAGAATTTTGCCAAACAAAGTACCCAGCCTCCACTATAGTTGAACCCATCCCAGCAAGCTTAACCACAGCAGAGAATTAACTAACTACTCATACAGCCCAGTACTGTGATGGGAATTTATCATCTGGTCTGTGGTTGGGGTAGAGCTCCTAACAACCACAAGGATGAGGATTTATGTTGGCTGTTCCAACACCAGACCACCTGAGAACTAACATGCAGGCAGTGGTAGGATGGGGAAAGTCAGCCAGAACGGTGAATTGCATGTGGTGGATTTGTCCAGTCCAAAACCAGGCAGCATGGAACATATTTCTTTTGGCCCATGGTAGGAGGAGAATACTCACCATCTACACCAACAGAAGACATCAATAACAAAAATATATCTGAGTTACAATGATCACATGTGAAGAGAAGTAAGAAATGCATCTTGAGAGAGAGGTGTTACAATGAGCAAGTAGCCAAAGGTTCAAAGGGAGGAAGGGTAAGGGCATGAAGGACCACACCGAGAATACAATCAGGTAAGGGAATTGGACAGGGCAGACAAATTTGGCAAAAGGAGCAAAACAGGAGAGGAAAATGCAATGAGAGAGGGAGAAAAAAGGTATTAGACAAGGCCACCCTATAACCTGTAATGATGGAAACTGATAAACCATTGTCGAAGAGCCAAGTAAAGAAATTGGAAAGATCTGGTAGGTGAGAAAACATGGGGTAAAAAATAACTCCAGAAAATATGATATTTCCTTTGTTAAAATTTAAAGAAGAAGAGCAAACTGACTGAGAAAGAAGGGCAGCTACTTGCATGGAGAGTCTGGAACTTCTCACAAGGAATCAGACAAAATCCACACATGAAGCTGGAGTGTTGTGACAGTGGGATGAAATATGGTGGACTGAGGTAAGCATAAAAGGTAATGAGAAAGTGGAAGAGATATAAGAGGGAGCAACTGAAGGATGTTCAGGATTGGAAACAACAGGTGAGTAGGCCAGAATGGGGCAATTAGAAGGACTTGACACAGAGTGGCTTGGATAAGGGAGAGAATATGAGGAAGAAGATGGATTGAAAGATAAACATAAAGGTAAAGATTGGTCCACTACTGAATGAAGGTTATTTTTGGATGCTGGAGAGATGGGGATATGAAGGTAAGCATCTGAGATGTCAACCAAAGACATGGAGTGAACAACCAATGAAGGATGAAGAAAGACTCCATGGTAAACTATGGGAGAATGATGAAGCTGTTGAGGTTAGAGAGATTGATGACAGGATGCCAATCCCCAGTTTTGTAAAACTTGAGAGAAGTGTAAAATACATGGTCAATAGCATCCTTGAGTAAAAAATTGTGAACTGCCTCTGAGAGACACTGGAATGAAATGGGATCCAAAGGAGAGGGGAAGGAAATGGGTCATGAAGATAAAAAAATAGGGGTAAAATATCTAAGGAATAGTCCTTTTATTAGAGCCTGAAGAACCCATGAGTCCACAATGAATGGGTATCACAGGCGAACAAACCTGGCTAACTTTGCCCCCACAGTGCCAGAAATCACAGGATAGTCACTGATCAAACTGGCATCAGAAAACACAATAATGGGCAATTTGGCAATTAACCACAGAAAACCGGGAAGGTGGCACCAGTAGTAGGGAGGAAGAAGGAGGCAAGACATGGGAAAAGGGTTAGGAAAGGTTTGGGAAATATGAGAAACAAGGGAGGAAAGGGAAAAATGTTGACGAATAGCCTCCACCCAAGGTCTCAAAGTATCAGGAAGATCCCCCAAAACAGACTGTCATAAAAAAGGGAGGTCTCACAGCTAGGAAGCAAGTTGACACACAAGAGACAAGAGGGTGTCCTTGCCAAGGAGATTCCAACAACAAAAGAGTCATATATGAAAAGATAAGGATGAGTAAGACATGAGTGCCAATGTGGAAAAGAGAAGGGTACATGTATCTGCTGAAAACTCCTCAGGGGAACAGTGGATGAAAGAGAGATAATGGAGTATAGTGGGGAGGGTGTGACAAAGACAGGAACAGGCAAATGTGTGGCTGAGGCATGCTTGCACTTGAACGTAATAGGGCAAGAAACTGTTTAGTATCTACACAAATATTAGACTGGAAAATCAAATAATCCAATGATGGTGCACAATGAAGAAGGAAGGAATCATAAGAGACAGTGGGTAACATACCTAGGAAATAATGTCCAAAAAAGGATGAGTGAAACCCAGAGGGGTAGCATGGTGCAGCAAAGGCTGTCTAGATCCTCTTCGTCAGGACCAGATTCCCCCAGAAACAGGAGATCCAGCCAAGGTTTCAGAGATGTAGCAGGCCACAAGATAGTTTCCAACTGATAATGCATCATGGGCAAAACCTTCCCCATAGAGAGTGTGAGGCCACAAAAGTAATAAGTGGTTGTAATAAGGTTAACCTTATAATGATGATACCATTTTCTGCGCATGTTCCTGAGTTACATGAGAAATTTAATTAAACCACTTTATTATCAATGTATTTTAATGAAATTATTCTTATAATGTATATTATAATTCAAAGTTTTATATTATCTCACTTTTTATTCTTTTATTTCAAAATAAATCTCTAGTTGTTGTTTTTTTGTATAGGTGCCATCGAGGTTATAATTATAAATTTTAATACCTGGTCTAGAAGAAACTGCATGTGTAATTTAGATGTTTTCATTCAGACAGTCAAAGTGCACCCTATCTTGGTTGTTTACCAGTAATTCAAGTACATTCCAAGAACTTTTATTCTGGAGCAAAACATTATAAAAGTTCTTCAGTTCAAGATAATCTATGCCCATTTCCAAAGTAGAAGCTGCATTGCTAAGCCTCAGTTTTAAATTGAATGGCATACTTATAACAAATAAAAAGAGTAAATTTTGTAGAATCTTTCCTGTAAATTATCTTCTACCTACTGCAAAGTAAACGTGGACTATGTAGGCATACATTTCCTAAGTATATTCTTAGACATTACTCTCATTAATCTCTAGCGCTTGGCTGTATTTTCTCACCTTAGACCTATTAGTTTGATAGACAGTTAAATGGAATTTATTAATTACTTTTATATTTTAGTTAATCATGTATTATTTGTGCTTTAAAATTCATATTCGAAAGGATTAATGATTTTTTAAATTTATTCTATGCTTTGCCTCACTCAACCAGCTTTTATAAAATTATAGTGTTTAACCACCATTTTCTTGGGGTAAACCATCTCTGCCAATGTTAACATTATATCACTCGTGGGCACCTGTTGATGTGTGTCAACATAAATAATCAAAAGTAAATAAAACATTAGAAATAAACTGTAAGTGAAAATGTAAAGATGTGAAATTACGCATATGATACAAAGAAGATATTTTGATGTTATTCAATGATGAGAAAAAAGGTGTGTATACATTTCCAATTCTTAATTTTTAACATTTCATTGTACTGTATGTTGCTGAAAATATCTAGAGTTAGTGATAGTTGTAGAGGAAATAGCAAATAAAATATAAACATCAACCTTAAAGTTAAAATTTACTTATACTGAAAATGTATTTCTGATAGGTACTTACCTCTACTCACATAAATGGCTATTCTCGTTCTGTGCTGCCCTCTATATGCAAACAAATTTTACACATGCCACAGTCCTTTTATCTCCACTCAATTGGAATTGACTGATTCCAATACATCTCTCATGCAAATCATCATGTGTCAAGATTCCACCAATAAGAGTGTGACATACTCTCATGACACATGTGACTCCCTCTATTCAATTCTACTGAACTATCACTTCGAGTTTTGGCAGAGGATGGAAACACCAGTTTTTAATGTGGAGGAAGGGTGGGAAGTATGTATCAGAAATACATTTTTCAGTATAGGAAAATTACACTTCCGATACGGTACATTACCTCCACTCTCATAAGTAGCTAGAATCCCACACTGAACAGGTGGACTTTTTTAAGGGAAATCAGTGAATATATTGGAAGTGAGAAGGACATTCTATTCTTCTGTTCCAGAAAGGTAAGTTTTTAGAAGTAAGTTCTTTATTTCTAAAAATAAGCCATAAATTTATGCCTTCAAATCTAATAAAGGTTTCAAGCCTTATATCATAGATATTTAGTTTCATCGATAAACAACCCATTTCAGGGCTAACTGTTTCCAAGTTTTTTCGAGATCGTTTCAGCTTTAAAGCAAACAAGATTGTGTGGGCCAGCATGTCATCACCTGAATGTCTTGCTTTGCTGCAGGAAGCTGAAGGAAACTGCCCCAGCAGTGACCCAAAGCTGTTGCCACACAGCTCAGACTCAGAGTCTTCACAATCAGCAATGCTGACCAACTCACCCAGTACCAGCAAGATATGAAAAAAATTCACAGTCAAGAAAAACCAGAAGACCAAGTCTCCTAGCCCCAAAGAACAAGATGCTGCTGCTACAAAATCCCAACTGACTTCCCCAGCCATGATTATCAAGAGAGTTCCAGGCACCTTTCACCAACCAGACATAGCCAAGGAACTACACACATTCTTCCCCACAACAGCCTTTACCCATGTCCGACACCTCCCCAAGGGTGGCATTTGTGTCAAATACACCCATCCTCGAGAGTACACCAGCCTACTGAAGGCACCTTTACAGAAGCTAAGATTTCATTTGCAACAATTTTTAAATTATTTTTCAGATTAATCATAGTATCAGATCAATCCAAAAGATAATGTTTTTATACACAATTAGTAAACAACTACAATAATTAATACAGATTAATCATAGTATCAGATCAATCCAAAAGATAATGTTTTTATACACAATTAGTAAACAACTACAATAATGTTTATAAACAAAAGCATATAATCATAATACTTTTTCAGATTTAACTGTCAATAAAAAGCAAGCTCTTTTAGTTTAATGTGTGTGATATTACTATAAGCTATTAAAATACTGATAATAATTTAAATCACTTCATTCTTTGCTGGATATCTTTCTTATGACATGATAACACAGTACTAAATACCATGCTTTGTCAGCTAAGGCATTTTCACCCTAAGCAAACTCTTTCACATACAATTTTCAATCTTTATGAAAAATACAAAAGATAATGATGAAATTCAAACAATACAACTATGTGCTATCTAAGATCAAAACCTCTATTTATATTTTTGTTTTAGAAAATGTTTGACATGATTGTGAGATTTTGTTTTCACTAAAAACTAATTCACCTGAAAGTTTTGTCCTTATTCCATTGTAAGTTATGGAAAACTGATAAAATAACTCATAGCCCCTATATATATAAAAAAAAAAAAACATATATATATATATATATATATATCAATACATTTGAATGCTTGAAGTATTTAGACGTAAAAAGTTTCTGGGCAATTTTCTTTTATATAATTTCTTTTTACATTTGTAGCCACACAAGACTACCTTTTTTCAAACTATTTCCTCTCTCTTCTGCTATCAGCAGTATTGATGTCGTTAATTAAAAATGACTGAGAATATGAAAATAATCCTACTTGTTGGTAAGCATCCTTCCATGTGTTGCAACAGTCAATGCACTGTTCAACTGTCTTTTTCGTTGATTGAGCATATCCTTTAAAAAGTTTGTCTAACTGAATTTCCCTTGAGAATTTTTTGATCAATTCTTGGCTAACCTAAAATTTAAATCAACATTATATATGACAGTAGATATACCATCTGAGCTAAATATAACATATTTTTGAATCTGTGATAACAAAAAATGCACAACAGTTATTTTCTATTAAAGAAAAACAAAAAAATGAGGATAAATGTCATTCTAGATGCAGAACTGACAGGACAAAAATTTTCAAGCTAAACTATGTCATCAAAATTGACATGTAAAATATACACTACACATTATTTCAGTTGTTTAGACTCATATATCCATAGTAGTAAATTTTCTCTCATTTACTTTAAGGACTTTTATTCATGTATTTGAAATATCTTTTCTTTCAGGGATCAATTTCTGGCTTCTAAGTTAGCTGGAGCAATTTTTTCAAGAAGGTTGTACAAATATGAAAAACATAGCATTATTTATCTCATCTCTAATAATATATTACTCTCATAATATCTTTTTCAATAGGAAAAATTTTTACAGAAGTGATTATTATTTTAAAAACTTTTAAATTAGTAGTAAAACACAAGCCTCCAGAGCCACATTACAGATAGCAAATTCTAAATTTTCAGGTGATCAGTTATGAAATTAAGTCACTTAAAACAAAGCTGAAAGCAGAATATAAAAACGTTTTTTGATTTCCATATAACTTCAGGTAATTATGTTGCAGATTTACACCTTCCCAAAAACATATTACATTTAGTACATATGTCATTATCATTAAAAATAAACCTTATAATAAGATCAGTAAAAGAAGTATCAATCCTGTAGCTCCATCTCTTTAAATCTAAAATAGACCACATATTTATTGTTCATTAAGCTCACTAAAATTGTTGCATAACTATAAAAATTCCTTATTATTTATATGTAAAGTTGAGCTAAGAGATTAAAAGCTTCTTTTTCCAAAACAGACCTAACATATAACATATGTCAATTACTGTAATGAATATTCTTAACACAAAACACCAAAAAGTACTTCAGAAGCACAAATTACGATTTTAGTTTACTGCTGATTATCTGTCAAACAAGTAATTTCAAAGAAACACAAGTCTGATGAAATAATACAGAAATCACATGAATAATCAGTGTAATTTTTGTATCATTATAACAGATAATATTATCATCATAGTAAATGTTTACAACTTTTACAACTAAGTAGTACTATCAATAAGATTAACTCATATCATATCCAGAACACAAATAACACTCACTTTTCGAAATAGACCTGTGATCTGACTCCGACTATTATAAAAAGGAGAGTTGATCCAAATAATTCTTATTAAACTCAGAAGATAGGGTAGCTTGGTTGGTATATCACTGAGAGGTGAGGAAGCTAATTTTTCACATGGCTCTTTCAGAATTGACAGGAATTTCAAGTTGCTCTCTGCTTGCAAGAAACTGTTCTGTAAGATGAAATATATAAACAAAATACTAATTTCTGTTTGATGGGTGGCTGTACGTGTATACATGTTAAAAGTTAAGAATATATTCAATTATGTTTCTCTGTACCTTATCAAATTAATTTAAGCAGGATAATTAAATTCAGTAATTTAGTTTAAACAAATAATCAAGTAAGATTAAAATGAATCTAAGAGCTGTCTTAAGTTGAAAAAATAGCATGTGTTACTTCATTAAAACAATGTTTTACTTTAAATTTCAAAAGATGATTTCAATTGGACATTATTAATACTTCTATGAAATAACACTTAAGCTTCAGAAATTTATTACCTTGCAAGTAAGATCTCACTTGAAATTTATCTCTAATCTTATAAAAATACTAAAAAATACTTATGTAATAAAACTATTTTCCTACCTATCCATAACACTTTTTCAACAAATTGGAATATATATATGATATGATATATACATATGTGTAAATATGTATTGTAATGGTTATCTAACTCGGCTTCATGTAGTATACTGAAATAACGAGTTCCTGATTGCTCACAAAGAGTCTCAATTAGAATATTCTAATTATGTCATGTTGATAAAAAAAAGATATTCAAATAAGCTTCAGGTTCACACAAACTAACTTAATAAAACTTGCATATTACCCAAACTGTGTTAAAGTAACATACACTTTTCTTTGTGGTGAAATACATGTAAGTAAATTAATATGACATTTAAGTTAATAGCACATGTTTATAAACAATAATTTATTAAAAAATATGTGAATTAATTAGATACTAATATTTGTATATAAAAGATATAAGATTATGATACCACTTGAAATTAATTTTACAAAAACTATAGATAAATGCCCAAATGTTAAATGAACATTGTTCATTATTATGTATAAACATACAATGAATTAAAGCATAACCATCACAAGTTATACAAGTAACTTCAAACAAAGATGCATGTGTGTCTTCTAGTTTACACTTTGCAGATACTAGACTATGGCAGCACTTCAGTATCTTCATACAATTCAATATTCATGATATTGTGGATCAAATCTTTCCAACTACAATGTTATGGACTTATATTGCATTTTATTACATTCCAACAAATGGAAAACTTACAAAGTAAACCAACAACAGCAATTATTAGTCAGTAGTCAGAGCACACAACACAGTGAACTAATACAACAAGGAAAAATAACTTTCAGACATTTTACAAAAACATCTTCCTCTTTGTGAATATATACCTTCATATCACACCATTCACTTAGAACATACAATTACATCCCATTGTTGCAATACTTGCAAAACAAGTGTCATAATAGTTTGTTCTATTTTAATGCTAAGATTAGTATTTTCTTTTGATTAAAGTCCATAAGAAAAAGTTAAGGTACTTCTGTTTTAAATGTAGCCTTACCTAGTTGTCTTTCTTGTAATGTAAAAAGATATACCACACCCAAATAGAACAAAGATCTTCCCAAATGGATGTAACATAATCATAAATAACCAAACAGATAAATATGACAAAAAAGTTTGATTGGAAAATAATGAAATAAATAAAAGCATAAATAAACAAATGCAGACTAAAACACCAAAATTAACATTGTGTAATGTTTAAGCTAAGTATATATTATTAAAATGTCATTATTAAAATTTATCAAAATGTCAAAATTGAACAATCATCTATTTGCATCTCTGGATAAAATGAATCACTCATAATCACATATTTTCTTACTGTGAGTATCAAGAGCCAGACATTTATAAAGAAACACAAATTAAGATACTGAAATACTGAGATTTTCCAACTGAGAATCCATACCTAGTTAAAGAAAAATACAGTAGTCTAAGATGGAATGGTTTAACTCAGATAATAAAGGTATAAGAAAACTTACTGTTGTACAGTGCCCCAATTAAACCAACCAAACTAAACATCACATTCAACATAAATAGCACTTAAAACACATAATCATAAATTATTATCACCAAACTATAACTAGCAGTTAGAAATGAGTTACTTCAATGAAATCCAAAACTAAGTGCAGAAGAAAAATTAACAGCAAACAATCACCAGACATATAATCAGCCCTACCACAATTAAAGGAATGTACGATAACAAACTGTACCAAAGCATAAACCTACAACTAATGAAAGTTAACATTTTCCTATACTGAAAATGTATTTCCAATAGGTTCTTACCTATAGAATAGCTTACCTGATTTGTACAGCTCTCTATACACAAACATTTTTGCTTGCCACTAGCCTTGAAACTCCCACCTAACCTCAGGTTTTCATGTGAGGTAGTTGCATGACAGCATACAAATGAGCATGTGACAACCCTCCACCAACAGGAGTGCTAAACAATTCCTAGCACAGCTGACTCCCTCTATGCAGCTTAGCCCAACTTCACTTCATGAGTGAGCAAAATAAAAGGGAAAAGACACCACAAGTGGGAAGGAAGGGTGGGAAGTAAGAGAAGTGGAAAGAATCTATCAGAAATAAATTTTCAGCGTAGGAAAATGTTAACTACCGACACAATATCTTACCTCCTCTCACCGAAAAGCTAGAATCCCACACTGACCTTGTGGAGGGACAGATGTAAGAGTATCTAGATGAGCTCTCCTGAAAAAGCACCCAAAGGAAGCCCATAGGGTGTATGAATAAAGAGTATGTAATACACACCCATGGGAGCCCGCACCACTTCTGAACCAGGTATGTTCTTAGCCCGTGAAAATGATATGTCACAATAACAGCATAATCATAGGAGGGACCCCCAGAAATTAAAGGAAGGAACCCCTGGTGTAGAATGGCTAGGGTGCAGTACACTGTGTAAGGGGGGGGGGGTTAAACCTCAACAAACATGACCATGATAGGAATATCCAACCCATGGCAGGAATAGGGTCCTCAACTGTTCACCACATACACGGGAACTAGAAAGGAAGATCTTCCATTCCAAGGACACACATCATCACATATGCATGTTCAACACAACCAACACCAATAACTTCAGGAACCAACATTTGAGCAATAGTAGGAAGGTGGACAGCAATGTAGTGGTTCAACTCCAATCCAGAACCAGATGGCATTGGAAATGAATCATCCAGTCTAAAGTAGAATGTGGGTACCTGAGCCACTCACCTGTGAGGACTTATGTGACTGTTCAAGCTTCAACCAAAACAAGTAACACCCCGGGAACCAACATCCAGATTATGGTTGCAAGAAAAGTGCCCAGCTAGTGGGGTGAACTGCATTTTGACAGAAATCATCCAGTCCATAAATAAGCAGCATCTGGAATAGTACATCAGGTCTGTGGTAGGAGGAGTGTATATATACCATCTACACTAGCAGAACACCACTGCCCTATTCTCAACTGAATGAAATTGAGCATACTCAGGAGGAAGCCTCCATGGTTAAACAGTGGGCATCAATGACTTGAATGGTCATATAGTGCAGGTTTAAGAATAAATATACCTGGTCAGGCAACATTCACCACTGAGCAAGATCCATATATGCAAGAAAGGCCCCAAGAAAGAAGAAAAATATAAAAAGAGCATCTACCCACTCATAGAGAAACCATGGAGCTCAATATGGTGATGGGAGGTAGATGTTAACCTGTAGAGCAGGAAAATAATGTGAAATAAATGTATGGGAAGAGTGGTCCACATGCTGGCACAAATTATATTCTCTAACAGACGATGGAATCGGGCAGTCAGGGACATGGTAAGGTTACGGATTTGATGGGAGGAGACTTGGAATAGATGACAAACATCAGGAGACAGGGAAGAATATACCAGGTAAATTTAACCCATAAGGGTAATAGAAAAAAAATATCATGGGAAAGAGAAAGGTTCCAATGAATGAGCAAATGGGAATGGGAACCATCAAATGGAGCAGTGCAAGTCAAGTAACAGCGTAGAGCCCAGACAAAACATAAAATGCTATGTGGATCGGAATGTTGATAAAGGGGAGAAATGGGAGTGAAGGCAAAACTGTCATCCTTTGTGCCCGATGTTTGGAGAAGGAAACACTAATCTGGGTAGAGGATGACACAGATCCTGTGATGTAATGTACAAGAGACATCAAGAACAAACAGATTCAAACAATGATGTCCAAGCACCAACAGGAGGAGAAAAAGGTCTTTAAGGAGAGATGATATATGGAACAGGATGACATTGGCTTGAAATGAAAAAGTGTGACGGCATGGAGGACAATTTTGAGGTTTCAATCATGGAGGGCAATAGAATGCAGGAAACAGCGAAGGTGTTAGGAACAAAATAATAGGGTGAGAACTGGAGAAGTGAAGACATGGTGAAATCTTGTGAAATGGAAAGTGGCAGTCAAGGCTATGTGATAACCAGCAATGGTGGATATTAACAGGCCCTTGTCAAAAATCCAGGTAATGAAGAAAGTCAGATGTGGGAGAGTAGGATGTGATGGAGGAAAACCATGATGAGAAGACCAATGGTGGTAAACAACAAACTTACATTGGTAAATTGACATAGAAGAAGGGCAAATTGAATGGGAAATCAGGGATGCATAACACAAATTGTTCAAATTCTGTCTGCCAATGATCGCTATGGTAAATCCTCAATCTCCCTCAGGATTTTTTCACTGTACAAATTAAATGATTCAGGTAAAGTGACACAGTCTTGCCTCACCACTTTCTTAATCTGAACAAGATCATTTAATTCATTTTATATCTTCACTGATGCAGTTTGGTCACAATATAGGTTTTTTTAAAATTCTCAAGTCTTTACCATCAATGTCCAGTTCTTCCAACATTTTCATTAACTCCACATGCTTGACTCTATCAAAAGCTTTGGTATAATCAATAAAACATAAGAAAATGTCCTGCTTCATTTCTACTGCCCTCTCCAAGAGCATTCACACCATGAATGTAGTATTTCTCGTATCATGATCTTCAATAAAACCACATTGAACTTTTGCAATCTTCAGTCTTATTCTGTTTCTAGCTCTCATCATCAACATCTTTAATAGGATATTTATCATATAGCTCATTAAACTGATGGTTCAATGGTTTTCACATTCAATGGCTCCAGGTCTTTAGGAGAGTTCAATAAAAATTGATTTATTGAGATCCTCAGGTATTTCACCACTTTCATAAATCTCATTAATAATAGTTGTTCACTTTTTTACACAAAATTCTTCCAAAAGTTTACTAATTCTATTACAATTTCATCTGGTCCTGTAGCTTTATGTTTTTTTTCATTCTGTTGATAACTGTTCACACTTCTGACTTAAGAATTTTCAATCTATTCATGTTCTTCTTGATTGATGGCTTGTCTTCACATCTGTCGTGGAATAAATTTTCAATATATTCTGTCCATCTCTTCAATACTTGTTTTCCTTCCATAATTACCTTCCATTCTTAGCTTTTCTACATTCATTAGCAGTGCATCCTCCTTTACCTATGATGTTTTTAATATTCCTATACATTGATATAACATCTTTATCCTTTTGTTTTTCTATTTATATGCACTTTTCATTAAGACATTTTTCCTTTTCTTCATTGCACAGTAATTGAATTATTTTGTCAAGTTTCTTATACTCTTCCATACTATGGGTTTTCATCTTCCTTCTATCTTACATGAGCTCAAGGATTTCCTCTAACACCCATTTCTGTTTCTTTTGCCATTATTTTAATGGAATAACCTCCTTGACTGTTTCAACTAGTGCTTCTTTAAAAATTTCCCATTTTGACATACTTTCTTCATCTTCAAGTTCTTGAAAATGGTCTTTAATTACAACTGTATATCTTTCTTTTAATCATTTTTTCCCCATTCTGCAGTCAGCCCCCGGGTAAGTTTTGGATTGTTATGCTGTATTCCTGAATCTTCTATTGATGGTAATGTAATCAATTTTGTTTCTAACATTATCTCCAGAACTTTTCTATGTATACCTTCTTTTCGAGTAATGCTTAAACCATGTGTTCATAATGACTTAATCATTTGCAACACACCAATCAATCCATTTCTCTCCTCTTTCATTTTTCTCTCCGAGTCCATGCAGTCCAACAATATTATCCACTTGCTGGCAACCAGTTTTGGCATTTATATCTCCCATCACTATGACCACTTCTTGAGGTCTTTATTGTTTTATCAAGGTTTTCATTTCTATGCATATAATTGTACTATTACTATGTTGAAAGGTTTAGCCTTTATTTTCACATGCATCACTCTATCAAATATTGCCCAAAATCCATGCAAACACTTTGAGATTTCTTCCTACAAAATCAAACCAACTCCTCTTTCATACATCTGACTTCTTGGATAAATTATCTTCATATCTTCTGAAACAATAGTTCCAACATCTTTCCAATGTGCTTCACACAGACCTAGAAAATTTTGTCTTTAACCTCCTGCTTGACATTAAACAGTTTTCCAATTTGGTGTAGAGTCTTCACATTCCTCATTGCCACTTTGAAAACTTTCTTCTGGGTGTGGACAACAGTATGATGACAGTCAGAAGTCACCTGTCACACAAAGCTTTCCTTACTGGGTGAGATATCCTCCCCATTTCTAACAAGGAAACCATTGTGGTTTTTCCTTGCCTCATGAAATACCAAAATATTGCAGTAGGTTGCCATTTCTTGCTGCAGGTTGCAGTGTTCAACTAGTTTGAGCAGATCTCCTCTATCATTGTACCAGTTGCACCAGGTATCTACCAAATGAGAAGATCCACCATCCTGCACCCCCAATGGCTTAAATTGTAACCATGGTAATGGAGACTACTAGTCCAAGGGTGACCCAGAGACTACAGCAGCTATAGATTACTTGTCTAACTGTTACCCTGACAGTTGACTGTCCTACTGCTGGATGCAGTTTAACATCACATCTAGTACATGAGGATTTAAAAACCTGTTTCTGATAAAAATTATAAGTAAAACTTGCACTCATATACTGAAATGGAATATCAGAAGGCCCTATAACTTCCAATACTACAATTTATCCCACTACAACAACAACAACAATGAAAAAAACATTACCAATGAATAATAATAATAAAACCACTGAAATTGGAGAAGTTATAATTTTCCTAAATGAAAATGTATTTCCAATAGGTACTTCTCTCTTCTCACAAGATTAGCTTTTCTCATTTTATGCTGCTCTCTATATGCAAACTTTTTCAGAAATGGATGTCACAAGCTTTCGCCATCCCTCTGTTGGAATCAAAAGTTCCAACACATCCTTCATGCATCACCTCTCCACCAATAGGAGAGCACTACTATCAAGTGCCACATGTGACTCCCTCTACATGCCACTAGTGAATTATCACTTTGGTGTTTGGCAATAGACATGAGCACCGGAAGAGGATGGGTGGGAAGTGTGAGTGGAGGGAAGTACCTATCGGAAATACATTTTTATTTAGGAAAATTATAACTTCCAATAAAATACTCTCCCTCTGCTCACAAGATTAGCTTGAATCCCACATTGAAATGGATGATGTGTAGGTAGTGGGAGATGAACGTGTGTGGAGTCGTCTACATGCCCGATCGTAGAATCTCATCCAATGGCTGATGAAGACGATAGGCAAGGTAAAAGGTAAGGTGACTGATTTGATGCAAGGAAACATGAAAGAGATCATGATGGGATGGAAAGACAATGAGGAATAGGCCAACTGTATCAAACATCGATCCCAATTGGTTAGGGTAACCAAGCAATATAACTATGGAGGGCACAGACAGGACAGAGGAGTCTATCCAGATCAAGATGAGGGAAGAGATGAGATACAGAGGACAGGCAGATAGGGAAAAAGGAGGACTGACCTTGTTGAGCTGCAGAGATCTTAGGAAGGAAAGCATGATCCAGATAAAGGATAAAGTAGGAGGAGTGGTACAAGGTCCTGGTAACGTCGAGGGCGAAAATATGAAAAAATGGTGAACAGAGGTTATGTATAAAAGACAGCTTACATGTTGCATACAGTATTTCACATATCCTGTTAATATATTTTCTCATTCCTACTCTTTAACAAAATTTCCATACCTAAGCAGTTTTATACACGTGTCCTCCTTGAAGGGATATTATGTGCTTGCATTTTTAATGCACTATGTATAATTATTAGGCATCAAAAAATTTAACCTCTGAATTTCAGCTGGTTAAGTTGAAACTATCAGTGTGCAGTAGTAGCACTCATATTAATTATAAAAGAATTACCAGGCCTTTTCTAATCATTAACCCTTGCACAAATATGGCTACAGCCAACTCCTCCTACTGTACTTTCTTCATAGGTTTTTCAATCAATCCACAAGTCAACAGCTTTATATCATTGGGATAAAAACACTTGCACTCCTATGACTGTAAATAATGTAACCATTGTTTCTAAAACAGTACCCACAGCATTATTACTTGATAACAAAAGTCATTCTAACATCACTGGTATATTGAATTTCTCCCTATCACCTACCAACATAATAGGCTCACACAACATCAACTCCAGTGGGAGAGATCCTTAGAAGATTAACAAAATACAATTTGAGGAACTATGTAGCAAATAGGATGTATGGCTTTCAGTCACCGTGCACAGCAGTATTATATAAAACTTAATTTTTATTAAACTCTTTTAACAAAAATAATTAGTGTTGAAATATTGAAAAATTCATAAACCTGTTTTAGTCATGTACATAAAAATATACCAATTCAAACATTTCTTGATTTTGCAAAAATCTATTAGTTCAATTAATCAAATTCCTTGTAATGAAATATGTAATTCAATTGCAATAAAACACACAGTCACATGTGATATCATCATATTCAAGAGTTAAGAATTTTAAAAGCAATTTCTGATCCTAAATTAAATACAATATGACATGGTACCTGTATTTCTGCTGAGAGTTTTAAAAACTGATAAGCATATGAAGATTTTCCAAGCTCTAGTATTGAGAGAATTTTGTGTATTCCAGGCTTTTCTAACTGTTGACTAATGCTACACAGATCATCACAGCGCTGTCTCCAGAATTCAATTTCTTCTGCTGGTCCCAAATTCTCACCTGTATGAGCAGTCTCTTGAGCTAAGAGAGCTTCTTTTATCTGTTTAATCCAATGCACCACAACACCTAAAACAAGGCAACACATGTCTACTTTTATATGATGTTTTTAAAACTGCTGCCTCTCACCATATTAGTTATAACGAAACAGAACAGTCAAGGACTGCTTTGTTTCTAGTATCAAAACATAATCAGATTTATACAAATTATAATCATTATAAAAAAAATGTACTTTTCCACACAAATGTTTGAAGGGTTTACAATACACTGAATGAAACAATCATAAATTACAAACATACCCTACACTTAGGATAAGATATTTGGTAATTTATAATTTCTGATAACTATAGGATGTTTTTGAGAACAGTTGCTAATGAAATGACTGACAATAAACATGATGTATTTTTAATTGCTTTTGTTTGTTTGTCAAATTTTGTCCAAAGTTACTCAAAGGCTACCTGTACCATTCATCCCTAATTAAGAAAAGATGCAAATAAAGGGATGGCATCTAGTCAACACTACCCACTGCCAACTCATGGACTTCTATATAACCAGCAAAAAGTGAGTTTGACCATCACATTATAATGCCCTCATGGCTAAAAGGGTGAGAATGTTCTGTGACAGTATTTGAATCCATGACCTGCAGATTGTGAAATGAGTGTCCCAACCACCAGGCCATACAAGGCCCATTACTTATGTGGGAAAGAAGATTCCAATTTTATCTGTTCTCTTTTCATTGAAGATTATACTGTCAAAATTTAGAATATAATTTTTTCCTCAATTGTAAAAATAAAAGCCTTATACTTCTTAATGGTATAAATATATACTGTGTTGTTGTTGGGCTTAGGATTCTTCTACAGTAGGTGTCTGCGACTTGTTGATAATAAATTAAACAACAAATGAATAGCACGTACTTCACTTGTTCTCAAAATAATATATATATATATATTTGGAACAAGTTAAACGTATGTACAACAAATTCTTCACACCACTGAGACTATAGTCATATCATATACACTATATATATATGGTTCTCTTCTTCTTGTCAAAAGTTCACTTAGGCCTATTCAATTGCTTAAGAATTTCAGTTGACAAGCCGAACTATCTTCTCTATTACTATCGCACTAGTATTCTGTGTGTGATTCACTTACAATTGTGACATGAGTTACCGTAATCATTTGGTCTTCTTTCTTCAAAATATCCTCTGTTCTTTTTGTCAGAGTGCACTCAGGCTGTTTCAATATTTTTAGAATCATACTTTGATGAAATAAGTTATTCTTCTTATTTTATTTTCTAGTGTTAGTCTTACTTTAACATATTAAATGTTAGGCCTATCACATCTATGGTAGTTAACTTCATGCCAAACTTTTCCTTCCTTGTAATTTCACTTTCTTCTGCTATTGTCTGTTTACTGTTTCCACTTGTCTCACACTATTTATATGTTTATCACTTAATCGTTTGCCCGCCTTATAGAAATCTCTATATTCTCAACATCAATGTATTGCATGCAACATTCAATATTCTCAATGTCAATGAATTATAAATACAACTTCCAACAATCATTTGCTTTTAACTCATATTATAACAAAAACTAAACAATAATAAGATATTCATTCACAAAATAAATTAATCAATAATATCTAAGTTAAACAATCTTTCATATCATGACATATACATTTTTACTTAACTGTGTTACCAGGTTCTTTTACTTCATTATTTTAGTGAAAATATTGTTCTGATTCATCCTATGAAAATGTATTTCCAATAATACTTGCCACTGCTGACACTTATAGCTATTACTCAACCTCCAGGGTTCCTTCCTTTGCCCATCTAAGCATTGGTCTAATTTTTTCTCCCTTGAGTCAGTCTTTTATACCCCACTCAATTGCCCATGGCAATATTTGTCTTGTGACACTCTCCACCTACATCAATGCACCTTCTAACTTGGTACTGTATATAAGCACCTCATTCACATAATGTTATCTCTTTTTTGAGACTGACGCCGTCCCAGTCTCTAACACCAGCTCTCAGTGGGGAGTAAGGGTGGGAAAGAGTAAGGGTGGGAAAGAGTCAGTGGAGGTAAGTATTACTGGAAATACATTTTCAATTTAGGAAAATTTTAACTTCCAAAACATACTTATTTCCGCTGACACTTATAACTAAAATCCCACACTGAGAAGGTGGAGGGGCCAGTGAAGACATTATCCATACAGAAAGCATCTGCATAGATCAGGGGTGTGCTAAGAGAAGATTGGTAACCTAGTGGGGGAGCTGAAATAATCCAAAACAAGTATACTCTTCAAGCTAAACTTAATTCCTGTATTGTGGGTGGAATTGTACATCAGTGATCATCATCAATACTCGGAGTTGGAATTAAGGGGTCTTGGTCCCTATATCTCACTTTGGTGGCTCGGTGAAATATATTGTTGTCATGGTTAATAGCCTATACAATCAGCTAAGTCTAATTATTAATTATTTACTAATTAATTTTTAAGTACTAACAAGTTTTACATTTTATTTGATAATCTACTGCCTTGAGAATGAGGACAGTAACACAGAATTCAGGAGCAGAATAGACATACAAGTCTTTGTAATTACAATCTACCAATAACAGCCCATCATGCCAGAGAATAACACAAAATAAAGTGGAGCAATACTAAACTAACAGAATATGAACCACACACAAGAAAAGGAAAGAAGCCTTCTACATCCACTTAACCAATAACATACATAGCCAACCTAACACAGAAGTCAGCAAAATCTGGATACCTTTCTTAAAACCATTCAAATATGTTGGGTGATTTAAGTCCTAATAAGGAAGACCTCAGTATGTGTATAGCACACCAGCATTTCTATCAAGAAGACCTAAGTTCGAATCCAAGCTACTATCACCACAGAAACAGTCCTTCTCGTATGCTTTCTTAAGGACAGTAGCAGGTTAACAGCCAAAACATAGGATAAAAGCAAGTAATAATTAAAGAAAAATAATCTAATTAATATTTAGACTTAGATGATCATATAGATTACTAACCATGACAATGCTGATATTTCATATTATGGCACCCTTACTCAACAGTATGACTGTGATATGTAATTATAAGAGATTACAACAAAATGCATCATAACCAATCTTATCAATAATTGAATTTATTTAATCAGCTCAACAAGATTTTAGTTGTGCACCTACTGTGTAATTTCAATTAATTTATAATCTTTAATAAATATAAGAATACTATAAATTCACATTAATTAATTAATTAACTACACGAACAAGTCAAATTCAAGTAACTAACATACATTTTAATCCACTACTAATTTCATTTTACAGCCAGCATAGTCATCATTAATAACCCTAAACATACTGCAAAAATACTTAATACTTGTAATTTCCAGTTTATACTAACCACTACCTCAGGCCTGGCATGGCCAGGTAGTTAGGGCGCTTGACTCGCAATCTGAGGGTCGCGGGTTCAAATCCCCATCACACCAAACATGCTCGCCCTTTCAGACGTGGGGGCGTTATAATGTGATGGTCAATCCCACTATTCATTTGTAAAAGACTAGCCCAAGAGTTGGCGGTGGGTGGTGATGACTAGCTGCTTTCCCTCTAGTCTTACACTGCTAAATTAGGGACAGCTAGTGCAGATAGCCCTCATGTAGATTTGTGCAAAATTCAAAACAAACAAACCACTACCTCATTATTCGTTATTTTAAAAATATGTGAAAAACAAAAAAATATCAAACAGCATCTCTCTTTTCACCTTTTATCACTTTTGTATTATGAAACTATTAATACAAAAATATTTCTATTCTGCACAAAACAAATTTAAAATGCTTATGTATTTTTCTGTCTTTTCTGTAGTTCAGAGCAAACCAAATAATTCTCATATAACACACACCTCCATAAAGAAGATTACCACTGTGGTGATTACAAATATTATATTTTACTCTTCCATAACTAGTAAAGGACATATTGTAATTGATGTAGATTCAAATGCATTTTATAAATTTTTATGCAACTATTCTGTATGTTGTTAAGACATCCTTTTAAGCCATACATGAGATCATATACTTGTATTAGTCCTCTAATTGACATAAAGATTACATACTACAATGCTTTTTCTATAAGACTTTTACTTACTTGGGGATGCCAAGCCCTCCTGAAGTTATACTTATTTAAAGAGGTGGTACAAAAATATACAAGTTAGTATGAGTTGGGAGGAGAGGATCTAACCCTTGAATATATGTAATGAGAATGATCATAGACAGGTTTGTTTGTTTTGTTTAATTCTGTGAAAAACTACAAACTATGCAAACCATCCCTCATTTTGAAGTGATAGACTAGAAAAAAGCAGCTAGTCAACATCACCCACTGACAGCTCTTGGGCTACTCTTGTCAAACTGAATAGTGGGACTTTACATTCTTTTGTGGTAGTGGTATACAAACCACAAAACCTCAGATCTACAGTCCAGCATACTAGCCACTGGGCCAAGCACAGCCCCAATGATATAGGTAAACTAAGTTGATTGTAGGATCTTTGTCTGACTTAAAAATAAAAATTGTGGTATATACATTCTTCTTAGTATTAAGTCTTTCTGTGCATGTATTTTTATTTCATCATGCTCTCTGCCCCAATATCCAATTGTAGTCTCAGTAATGAATCTACAGGCCAGTTAGTTGAGTAAAGACTTTTTGTGTATTAATAAAAAAATTTGATTTATTTGTACACTATGGTTTGTTTTTCCTTTGCTGTCAGTGTTTAAATTATTCTCAGCACACAGCTTCTGGGACCTGAATTTTGCTAATAGTTATAACTATCTGTTGGATATCATTGAGCCTGAATACCACACCATGAAGAGCAAAATGATAACTCAAGCAATACATGCTTTCAAACTTTAACTTTCACAGAATTGCAAAAAGCAGTTTCCTTCGAGTAATTACTGTGTCAAAAAAAAAAGTATTTCTATATAGATAGCCCACTTAGTATTCACAGTTGTGTCATATCTTTAAAACTTTTCTTTATCTCCAGTACACATATATATATATGTTTGGAAAAAATTCTAAATTCTAAACATTACTCAACCTTAATAAGGTTTGTTTGATAACAAGGAAAGCTTAGAATAATACTATATTTTCTACATTTTTCTCAGTAATATTAAATATTTTAGTCTAAGAGTTTCAAAACACACCTTCAATTCTTTGAATCAAATCCTTGTCTTTAGCAGCTTCTTCTTCAGTAATGCCCTCTGTTTCCATGGGTATATACAAAATAGTTTGCCTAATTTGTTTATAATGAAATTCAGTCAAGCTTGCTAAGAATTTATGAAGCTGACTAGAAAAGTCTTTCTTAATGCCTGAGATTTATGATAAGGAAAGTAAGATCATATAAATTATTTATTAATACTTAAAATGTATTGTATAATATCAACTACCCACTTCCTAAAACCAGAGTTCCAGGTTAATTATTAACAATTAAATGTCTCTATTACATTAGTTCATAATTCATATAACAATTTTGTGAGCTAACTATAATGAGTAATGAGTGACAAATGAAATCTTGAACGACCCTAAACAAGTATTCTGATACATTCTGGCAAGTTTCATATATACATATAAAATATTGGTGTGCATTGAAATTAAACAGGAAAAGAAAGATTAAGTAACATTATAAATTTAAAAAATACTTAGAATTTCAAAGAAATGTAAGAATATCAGTCAACACATCTTTATTTTGGAATAAGCATACAAAATTACTTGTAATTCTATTCAACCTTTTTCAAAAAATATGATATTTTCATATGCTTGCACTTTCCTTAGCTAAATTAAAGCATTACTTTTTGCAAAAACAAATCCCATTTTCTAATTCCTTCAACAAGAATCAAAATATATAGAATTCTCTAAATTATTAACTTTAATTGTTAGTACACTACATTAAACTTTGTGGCAGACAATTTAACTAGTTCATATACAGTAAAACATTTTTTTCTTCTGTATAGTTTATATTTCACTCACAAGCTTCAGTTGTACTTCAGTCTATGGACAAATTGATAATTAAGCAATGATTAAGAACACATAATTGAAACATTAAATTACCAGCATATATTGAAAAGAGAAATGTCATGCTATACTGTTGAGGCTCAATGTAAACAAAATGTTTGTTCATCTTTGGCATTAACTACATCCTGGAATCTGTTACTAACACTTACCACCAACCTTTGGTATACATTTGACAGAATAAATAACAATCGTTAAGCAAATTAACTCCAACTGTTGTAAGAATTTGAATTCTTTCCCATTTGTCTCTCAGATAGCCTTTGAAAACATCCCAGAGCAGTACAATTTGGTTCAGGCCAGTGCTCTAAGATGGTTAAAACAGATTCTGGATGTTGTTTCAAACCACTGTTTGATATGGCTTACTGTATGGCATTTCAGCACTCTTCAGAACATCACAATACAACAAGGCCTTAAGTAATTTTAATAATACAGTGTGTTCATCACTCACATTTTAAGCTTATATTAATATATAATTCTTAGGTTTTTATGGCCAATCATAAAAACATGAAATTGCATACTGATTTAAATCTCATATTACTGTTAAAGAAAGGATAATGACAATAAATATAAAATATCCAGAAGCTTCTTGCTTCTTCAAATGTCTCCTGTACAATGACCATGAACAGCTACATGTAGAAGCACACTGAACAAAGATACAACAAATGTAAACTGTTTAAACAATCTCATACATTTCCTTGTGATAAAAGGAAAATGAGAAAAAAGTCATCAAAATTTAAATATTAATATATAGAGACAAATAACTAAAAATTACTTTGAATTTCACAAAAAAAGGATACTATCAGGCCATGTTTTATTTCCAAAAATCAGCAATGAATAAACTTTTGAGACTAGTTGCATAAGACTTTCTGTTACTTCTCCTTTCAAACTTCCGAACTGCAAGACTTTCTGAAAATTTTCTAAGGTGACACGAGAGCTGCATGAAGTTTTAATGTAGTAAAAAATTTCTTCAACTAGTTCTGAAGGAACAGTATATTTTAAGCAAAGATTTTGGTCCTTGTCAATGTAAACAAGCAGAACGTCTAAGGATTCATCAACCAAAAAACGAAAAATGATGTCATCATGGTAATCCCTCCACATGCTGTTCTTCAATCCAGACAGGATAATTCTTTGGTGGATAATATTACACTATAAAAATGTCATTATAATAACAATTAAAATTTATTCATGTAATGTATGTAAACAATCTTTAATTTATCAAAAACAACAAACTTAATAATATAACTCTATGATGAACAGACATTTAAAGATAAATTCTAGCACATTAATAATTTTTTGTGTAAATATTTGTATTCTATTAAACATTGAGTTTTAGCCTGAAAACACTTACCTATACTAACTTGGATAATATCCATCTGAGAAACTAGCAGCACACTTTATAATAATGAGTAGTTGTCATTAAGGTGCTAAAATAGTTATTTTCAAATGAGCTTTAGAGCTTTATTAAAGAGTTGAGAAAAAATAACTAGCCACACAGCATGTTGTACATCAACATGACTTCTGCATTGCCTGAATTTGTCATACTTTCTATGTTTGTAATTCAACTGTTGGTATCCAGCAGCTGAAACAGGCAAAGTTTTATGCTCAGGAATACCTCTTAGACATTTGTAGTTATATCCTGTTCCATTACAAGCACATGACAATAATCTGCAAGGGATCAAACTCCATTACTACATATTGAATCAAAGACCTTCCTACAATAGTTACTTGTTGCTTTTTTGTTAATGTACCTAGGCTTTCATTGCCACCAGGACATATCTAATATTCAACCTGCTCAGTAACTGTCCATCTTGCCTTTGCTTGCACCTCTGGTAAACAAGAAGCGGGAACCAATAGTTAGATGTCCTATTGGGGGGTGCAGCACAACTACCAAGCAACAGTGCCAGATGTGTTCCCACTTCTGACAGGAGCATTATTATAGTATTTTGGCACTTGTGTATAAAGTTAAAATCATAAATAATATTCAATGTTAAACTAGTACACAAT